TATTTATTTAATTTTCTTTTAGCGACGGTGGCTCTCACCTGGGTCTTCGCTTTGGCCTCCTCTTTGGCCTTCTCCTCCAACTCCTTCTCCTTGTCCGCCTCCCGCTGCGCGCGCCGCTGCTTCTTGCGCTCCCGCATGTCATCCGAGTCCCGGCGTCCGCCTGCGCCGCTGCGCCCACGCGCCACCATAGGTAGTACGACAGCCACGCCCAGAGCGAGGACTGCGGAATACTCTATTAGATTCTTTGAGCAGCCGCTAGTAAAAGCGGTTACCTTTTGGGCATGCACAGAGGGCAAACAATTCCATTTTTAGACAAACGCTAGTAAAAGCGATTATATATAGAGCGCTGAAAGTTCATTTTTTGAACGCTCGTGCCAAAAGTGAGACGATGTTCAAATGTTCAAATAAAACTGTGAATGGAACAAAGAAAACAAAATACTTTCATCTAATTGTATCAACTACTAGTGGCCTTAAAGTACAAATAAGTGATTTGAACACGTGAATTAAAATAAAATAAAATCAGTCAGTAAGGCTGTCTAAAGGGTGCGTGTGGTCAAAGTGATTTATTTGGCTCGTAGGATTGCGTTACTCGGCCTGACGTTCTCGTGCCCCCATCCTTTCATACTCACAAAATAAAATGTCACTTTTATCACTCGTATCATAAATATCTATTTTAGCACTAAAGCTGAGTGTGAGGCGATGCTCTCATGTCTAGATACAATTCCGATAAAACTATGAATGCAACAAAGAAAACAAAATACTTTCATCTAACTACAACTGGTCTTAATGTAATATGATATCCAATGTGATTTGTATTGTCAAATTAAAATAAAGGGGAAGTCAGGAAGCTGTCTAAAATAAGAGTGTGACACACGTGATAAAAGTGTTTTTCTTTTCTTCGTAGAATTGCGCCACCCGCAAAAACATTGAACTTTTACCACTCGTATTGTACCAATTGTTGCAATACTTCGTACTCGCAAAATAAAATGTCACTTTTTCCACTTGTATCATGAATAATTATATTTGTCTTGTATCACACATTCGAGAGTTAAATTATTTTATACACTTTATTATTTTATTTCATATTTATTTTCTTCTAATATTCTAACTTGCAAAAACATTTTGCCGAATGGCACAAATATGTTTGAATGGCAAATTATTTGCCTGATTTTGTTTTGTGATGTTTTATTAAATGATCATTTGTTGTGTGAAGCAATAATGTGAAATAAATTATCAGATATCTATAGTCCATCTTCTCTAGTAAAACCTACACTTGATTTATCACATTACTCTTACGGCTGGAAAGCTTTCTTAACTGACAAGAATATTTGTTTCATGCTTCTTTTAAAATATCTGCTTTATTTGCAATTTGTTCTTGCTCCTAACTTAAACGTAGAAAGTTTATGAAATTATTGCACTTTTGAGTAATCACGATTACCAAGTCAAGATCCTATCCATTCAAAATTCATTTATCATGAATGTATTTTATTTATAAGAATTATTTGCTTTAGTGAAAAAATGAAAATTAATTTCCCTAAATTGGGGACAATAATTGTCTACTGACTTCTTCACAAGACTCTCTTGATGCTTGAATCCAGTGTTGTAACGCCATTCCGAAGAATTTGTACAACTCTTACTTTTAAATCTCGCGCCAGTTTATCTGGATGTAGTGCTCGCGAACTCTCAACAATGAAACCTTGCAAAGGAATGTAGGTCTATTAGGTGGAATGTGTTTACTGTAACAAAAGGCTACTTTAAGGGACGTTAGGAAATAATACTTGCCATTTTATGAATAATGAAAAATAAAGATAAGATTTTCGTATGCCTTATTAAACCACGCTTAACAATCTCTGGATAATTTCACCTACGTTCAGGCAGAGAGAAACATTTCTAAATATACTGCAAAAGGACAGTGGATGATTTAAATGTTTCTTAAATGCCAAATAAAAGGAAATATACTTTAATGCCAAACTTACATTCTATACATGATCTAAAACTACATTGCTTTAACATTAACGAGCTGTTAAAAACACTAAAATGCGACAAATTATTAAGTTATCATGTCTTCGGCCTACCGGCTAGTCCCTGCTGGATTCATTTTGCAAAACAAAAACTTCATATCACTTCCATGTCTGAATTTACAATCATCGGTTCCAGATCATGCAAGTTCTTTGGAGTGACGGAAATAATCTGAAAGAGAGAATACAAATCCTTTATATTTATTCGAAAATGTTCAATATGATGAATACTGAAACTAAGAAAATATTTCCTTATAAATGTGGTAAAACAATGTTTAACCAAATATTTTGTAAATTAAATGCTTCTACACATTTGGTCAATAGTTTAGTGGATAGTTTTAGATATCTTGATAGGTTATGCGTTCTATTTTTTACTTTTTCAAACTGTTCTATAGAGATCATAATCATTTATTTTATCAGAAAAAACAAGGAAGAGCATGTACAATATATTTTGGACTATAAAATATATTTCATTATCTGATACATCTTCTGTTTGATAATTATAAAAAAATTGTATTTAAAATGAAAATATCATTGCCAAGTCAAAGTTTGTTTTGTTGTTAAAATGTCTGTAGTATTTAATAGTATTCTTCTAGAACTATGATAGACTACTTACGATGAATTCATATTTCACTTCCCCAGTGAAAAATGTAAAAACGTACTTTCGAATTTTTCATCCTCCCTGAGGAAGGACTTAATTTTTAAAAATGTACTTTGTGAATGTACACGATGTAAACGATTGATTGCAATCCATTTCATATTGATCAGGTGTATTTAATCGTAGACTACCTAGTATTTTATACAAGTTTTATGAACGCATAAGTCGAAGTACTTCGCGAATTCACCAAGATTATTATAAATGGTCCGTAATCAACTGAACGTTGAGTCCTAGTAGAAATTAAAATTAAAGAGTGCGCATCTTATGAAAAATAAACCGATGCATGAGCCCAGAAAATGGCGGCATATGGAATGTTTTAGGGTCAAAAAACAGGGCGTCTATGTCCAAGCGATGTATAATTAATACAAATTCAGTTTGGGTTGATGTTATTGGCCAACTCATAAAATATATACTAATTTATAAAAATAAATATGTGAATCAATATTTGTTATTTTAGTTGTATAATTTATTTTTGGCGTGCGGCAATTAACGTGCAAAAGTTACAAAAATATACAAATGAGAATGTTAAGGTAACCGGACTTCTCAATACTGAAAACAATTAAAATACACATGAATGAAAGAGTTAAAAAATTAGTTATGATTCGTGAGCAATTTTATGCCTATTATAACCAGTTTCATGGAAGTTCAATAGCATTTATCAAGTGGTTTGATTCTCCACATGCCTTCCTCGAAACATTGATATCCTTCTATACCAAAAAAGGAAGACATTGTTTGTAATTGTACCACGCAGTGTCTCAGGTCTCGAGATATCACTAAATAATGTTTTCACCTCCACGTGAAGGAGAATGACACTAGAGGGTCTTATGAAAATAGGCATAGCGGAGAATGGAATTAGGGAACCTGTACCGAACTCATTAGTACAGGCTCGAGAGGCTCAATAATAGCGAGAACTGGTTACTGAATACATAATTAATGTTTAACAAAACACTCATTGAATGATTTAGCTGCGCGCATAGGACCATAGTCATTCCCGCAATATTTCATTTTTCCTCGAACAAAATTGACTACATTTTTCACTGGTCAAAATTTCTTCTCGAAATAATTCTTGGATATTTACTGGCCCATCCAAAGTGCCAAAGAAAGCGCCAGAACAGTAATCATTATGAACCAAAATGTTAGTTCATGATGCATAATTTACATTAATCACTTGAACGTACCTACCATTAATGAGTTAAAAAACACCTTGAAAATTATCAAAGGAACTTCTGAAGTAGTAACAACAATAACATTTTATAGTGTAATAAGCATTTTGCTTTCTCAACATCACAAGGTACTTCTTACTTTATTATCTTGTTCCTTGCACAGTTAACTCTTTCCTGCTTTACGCAAACATGACGTGGATGCGTTGTTCATTCTTCTCATGTCATGGAAGGACCAAATATTTACACGTTTCTAAGGGCTTATGAGTAATATGCTCACGAAATACTATGTTAAATGGCTACCTATTGATGTTGTTGCGTATTGTAACTTGAAATCTGTTATGTATTTCCTGAAAGACTAATGGTTTAGTCGAGTGTATTATCTGTTGGCGCGTTTTAAAATAGGACATGCCAGTGAATTATTATCAAGAGGTAAGAATCATTCATAATAAGTTCACATAATCCATGCCATAATAAAAACGTGTATCTCGAAAAATAAATTAAAATAATTTGAAAATATTTCCTATTGTTTGGTGCTTAGGATTGTGAAGCAAGCAACTCCTCTTCGGGAGAAGATTCTCAGGCATCAGACGCTGTCGTTCTGAGCCCAAGGTAAGGAAAATTGCTCAGAAAAGGGTTGATATCGTTTTACTACCTACGCTTTATGGTCGCGTGTTAGTACATTTACAGACAATTGGACAGTACATAGTAGAAAATAATATTAAGGGAACTGCATGTAACACAGGTGCGGATCCACGGGGAAGGAAATAAGGGAAATTTCCCCCTTAAAATTTTTCAGTAACTATTAATTTTAACTTGTCTGGAAACATTCAAGCAAAAATATTTTCAGATAGTCATTAAAACGAATAAAATCATATCCCAGCATGAGCTCGGATACGATTTAAGCCTGGGACGTTTGACAAAATCTGTAATATGGCTCATTCGACCAAAACATTTTTAATTTCCCCTCCAAAAATTCGTATCTGCATCCGCCTGTATGTAACAATATATTTAGTATATTTATTCATTTTATTTAGAAGAGAAGTACCTATAGAGCCATTGAGCTTTTGCACAAACAAAGCACTTTAGGTAAGATGAGTACTTCTTACTAAACTTTTATTTAATTACACATAAGGCGCCAGCAAAGGGAAGAAATCACTTTCTTTTATTTCGTGACCGACGATCACCGCCGGTTATATGATTATTTTAAGAGCCAGTTACAGTTCTAAAACAGATAAAGCTATAGCTCTAAATGGTTCACCTTCATTGCGGTAGGAATTATTATTGTGAAGCAGATACGGTTTCAGCTCAATTAATGATAAGAAATTGAAGTCAGGATGATAAATAAAAAAGGCTACAGGCTCGAGAGGCTCAATAATGGCGATAACTGGTTACTGAATACATAATTTTTATGTACTGAATACATATACTGGTTACTGAATACATACCGTCGGGAAACCTTTCAGCCGTTCAAGACTTTAAAATGAATTTTTTTAAGCAAAAACCATTGAAATTATAGTGCACACTTCTCTGATAGTAATTTTCATCACAAGTGGTCTTCCGAAGGGGAAACTCACACACTTGAGGGAATTTGATCTATTGAAAAGAATCTACCCATCAAAAGAGCCCCTTCTGACGAATTGTCCTTCATACCGAGGTCGTCACATTTGAAGAGGAGAGAAAGGAGGGGCTGGGTCATCACAGAACCAAGTTGACCTTACACCATCCCTGGAAATCACATAAAATAATGTCACTATGATAATTTTGTCACGACAATGTTGTGGATTATTACTACCGCACATTATCGTAGTCAAATATGTAAAATTCAAAAGTATTGTTTTGTTTAGTATATGGTGTGTGAATTAATATTTCATTCCGAAGTTAACCAGAATAAACTCCGTTAATAATATAATAGAAACCAACTCATTCATTAGTGTTCTATGGGGAAAGCGTAAAGAAGTCAAAAAATCACAATTGTGAGTGTATGTAAAAAAAACTTATTTTTTGCCAATGGCCACAAAATACAAGCATGTATGGGGCTCTTTTAAGTTCACTTTTAAGTTCACTTTTTTCCAATGAACTCTAGTATTTGACGGAGTTAATTTTATACGACGAAGATAAACATGTAACATTCGCCCTTGATTGGTAGGCAACCCATCTGGCGTTGGTGTTTGGCATATCACGTGCTGACGTACCGGCAAAGGTGGCTCAGGGCATCAACTGATGTCACTGCAGTGGCTCTGACCGATAGATCCTATGGTTCGAGTCCCGACGTGGCAGGGTTTTCGACACTAGCTTGTGAGTTGGCCGAATTCAGTCGTAGTATGAAGGATAATTCTATCGGCCGGCTGTTCTGATCAGTCGTTTTCAGAGGTTTCTGCGATCAATACCAGGTGGATGCCGGAGCAGTACCCAAACGAACGGGCCGTTCTTTCCTTGTCCTTCCTTTTCCTATCCTCACCCCTTCTACACACTTACTCACTTGAGCTACATTATCACACTTGCCGGGAGATCAGTCGGGAGCTTAGAGCTTTGCCTGGCTGGGGCAGTGCCACGCTGATGGGAGATACCTGGTTGAGGAAAAACTCCACTAGCCGACGTATATCGCCTACTCTCGCCAGCCAGCGGAGGAAAAGCCACTAATGATCTTAGCTGTTGATGCGCCTGTAATCACTAATCAATCAATCACGTTCTGACACGAAGAGATTTGCAATACCTGCCAAACACCAATACATGAAAAGTTGCCAACAATTTCATGCAAATGTCACAGGTCTAACTTATTTATATGAAAATTCTCACCACATGTACTTTGCCACAAATGAACATGATTATTATGACTCCATACTCCAATCAAAGTTTGAAACATTTTGGCACACCTGAATATGAAATTAATTTTGATTTGTAGGCCTACAACAAATGGGAGGGATTTTTCCTCTGCCTTGCATGTACAATAACATTTTAAACCCTGTATGCTTCCTTAAATATTTTTTTAAGATACCTAGTTCTCTTTTGGTGTCTGTCCTAGCAAGCAATCTGGAGTCTTGGCCAGTGAATAAGACGAAGGGAGCCCCCTCAGTAAAAGGGGACTCCCTCAGCAGGTGGTGCTCCCTTAATAGGTTGCCCTATTGTAAGGGAAAAAGGTAGGTAGGTGGGTGGGTAGTTAGGCAGGGTCTTTTTGGTGGATTGGGCTCCTGCAACTGGTGAGTAATGCCTGAAACCAGTTTCAGTGCCTCTTGCCCATCTCTTCTGTCCCTACTGTGACCCAGAGCTTCCCATCCCCATCAAACTCTCAAAGAACTTGTATTTGTAAATTGCACAAAAGCTGAACTTTGAAATCATAGAAAAAATTAACTTTTTTTGTTTCCGAGATATTAGTAGAAACAAAATGTAAAGAAAATCATTGATATTGAAAATATTGTTGTTGGTGAATTTGAGAAAAGTTTCCTAGTAGAATATTTTTTTATTATAATGATTTAGTTCACAATATCCTCTAGTTTTTGGTATTTTTGTTGTTTTTTTTTGTAGATTTTTGTTTTGTTTGTTTTTGTTTTGTTTTGTTTGTTTTTGTTTTGTTTGTTTTTGTTTTGTTTGGTTGTTTTTTGTTGTTTTTTGATTTGTTTTTTTGATACAATGGTAATACTTAACCACACCAACAATCTGTTTTGTGAGTTCCATTCATCAAATAGAAAATAGATAAATTAAAATTGGAAGGAAGATATTAGTGCACTCAGCAGCATAAAAATTTTTTTTATATGATTAGGATTGTTTCAGTACAATATTTTTTCATTGATATTTCCCTAAGAATGCCACATATATTTTGTGCTTTTTGTTTCTTTGGTATGACACTATGTTGTTTTCTCTGATGTATGCACACTTTTAATTTTTGTTTTATTGAATTTAGGAAACTTCATAACAGATATTTAAGTATAAATAGATTGAGATCTAAAACAAATGTAAAATGTAATAATATTACCAGATTCAAAAACCAAAAATCTATTATTCAAGAAACCCAACATAGTATTTCATCTTGTGACATTGAAACAGGTTAGTTACAATACATCAATCTAATTTAATTTATATTATTTTAGTAATTAGCTTTCAGTTTTGTCAAAAACCTACATGTAAGGTGTTTGGATAAATAACACTATCTGACATTTTGAACAAAATTAAGATGATCAAGAAGACAGGAATAGATGTCTTTAATTAAGTGATTTCAAGAATGCCAACAAATGGAAGAGATAATTTCCTTGTACATTTTGTATTGTGCCTCCCATTACATATAAACCAATCATTTTCTTGAAAAACATAAAATATTAAATATTATTTACAACCACATGCCTTATTTGAAGAACTCCAGAACTCATTCAATGATTATATTTTCTAGCAAAATACCTTTCTTGTCAATATAATTTCATGTTCATCACTTAATCATGATTCATAATTTGCACATGACCCAAGGATAAACCAATTGATATTTTTTTTTAATTTCAGGTGATGAGTCATTAAGAACATCTCCAAGACTGTCTGCGAGTTCTAAATATATTGGTGATGAATCGCTTATTCACGCATTTCAAACTAATCAATTAAATCATCAAAGCAAAAAAGGAAATAAAAATAAAATGCCTTTTCATCGAAGGTAAAAATAGGGATAATAGGTTTATTTAGCCTCATCTCTTAAGCTTTTCAATTTCCAGCTTTCAATGAAAATTACGATAGAAACTATTTCAATTATTTTTTAATTACACTTTTTTGTAAGAAAACAAATACATTTTTTTGGAGTTATTTCTCTAATATTGAATGAAAAGGAAAATGTTTTATAGTTTTTGTAAGGGATCTCTTAAAAATTCACATGAAGAGGATATTTGCATGTCTCCCTGTTTTCGTTCAAACAAAGTATTTCAGATAATAATTACCAGTACAGTTGAGCCCCAGAAATCCAAACTAAATGGGAGTGTGGTATGTTCTGATTATCCAAAAAAATGTACTGTAGTATACAAATACATATAATGATTTCTAGACAGTGCAACGTAGCATAGTTATCACATCATTACATCGCATCATCAAGCACATTCAGTTCCTTATGGCAAAAGAAAATTATCACTTTTGCAAGTTCCTCTGAAAAAAAATTATTGCTACATAAACATGTATGTGATACACACCATAGTTACCAGTGCAATAAATGTTTCATTTTGACAACTTGTATTACAATAATTAGTTGTTGGGTTGTATAGAATTATAAAATACTTTTTTTACACTACAAATAAGCATTTCTTTTTTCCTTTTTTTTTTCATTCATTCCGAATTTTGTTTGAATTTTCCAAAATTTCGTATTTGAGAGTTTAGGATTAGCAAGGTTCTACTGTACTTTATTTGGTAAAATTATTATAACATTATAAAAGAATATTAAATTTTTAATTTTCAAGTACTCTATGAACTACCACCTATGGTTTATTATTCCAATACCGTAAAAGATATGCTCTATTCATCTCTTATATGTACTAATGATGAATCATTTGAATATTAGAAATAAGAATGACACAATTGCCTTAACTAAAAAAGATGAAATCAATGCATCTGGAGAAGGATTTCTCTCAGTTCCATCACAAGATAACAGTGAATCAAGAAGAGTCTTCCCTTTCTTGCAAACACCAAGTGGAAACCTGAAAGTTGGACCCAATCAGGTAAATGTTTGGGTGAATTGTTGGGATGAACACAGATATAATTTTTATTTTAGAAAACTAATCCTATGAATTTCAAAGAATTCTTGTAAGGTAAAATGAAATAGCTATGTCATTTTTTTCTCTAATTAGTGAGGCACTCTTTCTAAATAAAGAACTTTGATGAAAAGAAAAATTAGATACGTGTAAATACTGATATGAAAATTACATCAGTGACATGCTGAACAAAAGGACATTAAAATCTAGATGGTTTGTTTTATACTTTGTTATTTTGTGCCATGAATTCTTTAGGAAGATTAATATCTAGGGAGGAATGCATGAACCTGATACTAACCTACATTCAGCAAGACTGAGGAAATGGGTAAAAACTTTAAATGTGTTTTAATAAAATATCTTTGGAAATATAACATTCTAGGTTACTATTGTACTAAGGTATTCCTGCATGTTTCCAATGGAAAGGAAGTTTCTCTTCTAAATTCTTTAGATAATAAAATGATTATATTTTTTGCACTCCTTACTGCACTGCATACCATTCTTTTGGTGGTCTTGTAGTAAGAGTATTGTATTTTTAACTTACATCCCATTACATTTCATTACATATAACTACATCTTATTATCTTACATTTCATTATATTTCCCCCCCTTCCACTCTCCAATTGTGGGCATGTTACCTTATTCAACCTCTCTCACACTTGAATGGAAATGAAGGTGCCGATGAATATGTGGGATTGAAATGATGAGTGTTTGTTGTTGAGAAGTGATGGAATGAAAGACAAGGACTAAGCTAACCATGAAAATCTACCATGAAACATTTCATAAACCTGGCCTTACCACTGGAAGGCAGTCTGATCACTACACCATGAATCACCCCTACCATCTTTGTCTTGTGTATACTGCTGGAACATGAACAATTTAATACCAAAATCACCATACATGTTCAAACAATATTATTTCACAAATTCTTCTTCCAGCAATGACTTTACACCACTTTTGCTAGTGGAATCGTGTAGGTATTCTTAAATTGAAGGGTCACATTTGTTGGTAGTTTTGTTAATATGTAAATACGTCTCCTGCTTATGAAATGCCAAAGCAAGTAAAAGATTATACATACAGGTATTTCATTTTTTCAAGCTGTTCCTTTATTTCCTACTCACTTGTCAGGTTGCTTAATGTGCAAATCTAAAATTCAATCTTATTTTCTTTTTACTTGTTAATAATACACTACTCAGGTTTATTTACATCTTCCCTTTATTGTCTTCAACTATCATCATCTTCATCTTCCCTGTTCATTTGATGTCTAGGGAAAATTTCTGTTATTGTCTAACAGTTCAAAAAAGATAAAAGATTTGTTTGTGTACAACACTCCAATAAGATTCACATGGTCTAATCTGTTTAACATAAACCTAATAACTTGGACAATTGATTGCATACAACAGGCAGTCCATAGTAATACCTATAGTTAACACCTTACTTACATCAGAGAAAAGAATTCCAAAAAGTGAAGTTCCCTGGATGCAATGTAGTGCTTACCTCTCATGTCATTCAGTTTGATGAAGCTATCAGGTTCATGTAGCGAGCAATGCTTCAATCTGAAACCTCACAATCAGAAATTAGTTCTAGTTGGAACAATGGAAATGGATACAGATGAGTATTTGAGGGGTATTGAAGCATGGACACAAAATGCCAAGAAGAGCCTAAATTTGCCTGTGGCTCACTTCTAATAACATAATAAATTGCCACATATTAAGTGTATGTAATTTCTTCCAGGTTGTATTTGAGTCCAAGAAAGTAAGCGTTTTAGTTGCTGACCCAAAACATACTAAAGTAAATGTAAGAGCAGAAATTGACAACAAAACCTTCATAGCTGGTTCTCAAGATGAATGTATTCCAATAACATTTGGCTCTGATGTGAGGAATATTTTAATACGTTTTGTATAAATTGATATTTTTAAATGTGGATAAAATAATAACATAATGCATGAACTTCACAAATTACTATTTTTCATAGAAATTATCTCACAAACATACAGATGGTGAAATAAATGAATTAATGACCATAAATGAACATGCATCACTGAAAAATATTGATAATTATATTGAAGGTTACATACCATCACAGCTCCAGAAAGAGTATTCTCTTCAAAGGTTAGTATTTTTATAGTTTTCATGGCATATTATGAATTTGTCCTTCTTTTTGACTGTTTAATATCAATATCTTTTATTTTTCTTCCTCTTTCACTCTTTCTTCCTTTTTTCTCTTTCATTCTATTTTCTCTTTCTATCTTTCTTCTATCTTTCTCTATTTCTCTTTCTCTCTTTTGCTTCTCCTTTCCACTCTTTTTCTCTTTATACATGTACATATTCGTAGTATGTATATATGGAGTAATTTATGTACTATAGAGAAAGTTATGTAATGCTGAAGAAAAAATTCTAAGATTTTATCCGTCCATCTGCCTGTCCATCCATTTGTATAGCTGTCTGGTTCTGAACAACGCTAGCCCCCAAACAATTTATAGAACTTTTCTCAAAATGATTATTCCCTGTTAAATCTGACCTGACTTAAAGCACTATGATTTTGAAAAACATTATTTAGCTTTGGAGGTATTTAAATGTAGCCTCTGGAACTTTTTCAAAATGCTCCTAATAATGCTGCCAAATTTTTTTCTTCAAATTTCTTGTAGGAAAAGAGTGAAATGCACTTTTAGATATGGAATTGATCTAATTTTCATTGTTAACTGTAAATTTTCAGAAATTACGTTTTTTTATTAAGTCTGAAATTTTCAGTGTCTTCCTACACCAACAATATTGAAGACAGAGATTTTTCTTTAAATAAAATTTGTTTTACACAATTAGTTCTTTAATTAATGTTGTGTGCATTTTTTTAAAATGTTTGTAGTTTTTGAGATATTTTGAGTGAAATTTTGGTGATTTAAAAAATAATAAAATCAAGATTTTTTCAAAAATCGCTCCATTTTTTTTCTTTAAACTTTGGGTAAGGATAGTTTTAAATGTACTATATAAGATGAAATAAAAGCCATTTTGCTGTTTTCTTTTGTTCTTTAAATTTACACAAATGTTATTTTTTGAAATATCTCTTATGTTTTAGTATTTACATTACCTGCAATTTATAAGTATTACTGCATTTTTTAGTGCAAGTTCTTCAAAAGATGTCTTGAAGTTTCTTAAAAACTCAAAAGTGTTCTGTGCAAATGAGCTCAAAATTGCACATTTTCAGAAACGCTCAAATGACATTGTCTAAAAATTGCTCCAAATTTTTCAGCAAAAATTTGTAGTTAGGACCAGGTTTTACCCTTCTTTAATAGTCATTTTTCAGTTCTATCATTAGGGGACCAAAATATTGATAAACTATGGAAAAAAAGACCTTAAGGCAGCAATAGACCTAGAAAGAGGGTGAGGCAAAGAAAGATTAGTAAACTAACTAGTATGTAAAGTCTGTGCCATTCTGGAGCACCACGAATGCTCTTTCTTTCTTTCTTTCTTTCTTTTTCTACTCTATCTCTTTTTTGTTTTAACGTTTATAAGTTCTTTCTAAAAATTAGATATTGAGATAACTATGATATTAACATTATTTACTTTCTGTCCTGTTTTCTTTAATTTACTTTTATTTTATTTAACTTCAATTTATTTTACTTAAATTGACATTCAAAAACTACTCAGCCAGATTCTCAGATTGTTTTCAAATGAATATTTATACATTCCTTATATTATCAAAATAATTCTATTAGCATAAATTATAAGTCTAAGATAAGTATGTACTCCCTCCTTCATATTTGTTCTAGAAGCACTAAATCTATTCTTAAATATAAATGTATGCTTGAACTATTAATAAAAAGACATTTGGTGACACCCATATGTTTACATGAAGCAACAAGAGCCTAAGTAAGAATGATGTATTTTGTCTGTAAACAGAATATTCTGAAGGAATGACCTGCAATAACTGAAAATGAATAATTGACTCTAGACAATCTCAACTTATACATTTTTTATTCTGTTTATATTAAATCAAATAAAAATGTACAACAAAGAATTGGCAGCTGAAATTGACAATACATTTGAAAAGACAGGTACCGGAGTTCCTCCACAAGATAGCCAGAAAGGGCTAAACGAGACCAAGTAGGATAATAAAGACATACATCTGATTGCACCTCCTTTAAAAATTGACATTAATGGATTATTCTAGTCATTGCATGTTATCATATTAAAATGACTGATAGATTGCAGATATATAACTATGTTCTCAATTACTCATGAATGCTAAAAGAGCAGGAAGTCAGATAGATACAAAAGACCAATATGTGGAAAACTTTGATCAAAAGAGGAGCTGCATATTACATGGCAAACTAAGAAAGATTACACTGTAAATGAAAATGTAGAAAAGGAAGGTGAACCATTTGACCGAGATAAAAGATGTTTGAAAGATTTGTTTCACTAACAACATTTAATTTGAATGGGTAAGATAGCTACCATGAAAGTGAAAGGAAAGAATAGATCTGAAAAGTTGAGTACTACTTAGCTTGTTTATTATTGGGCAAGTCTGTGTCACTAAGGCTCCTTTCTAACAATATGATATAAGGAAATGTATTTATTTGTTTAGTTGTCCACTCGTATTCACTATTGCAACACCTTTGTATTTCATACGATAAATATGGCAAATGTGCTTTTATACGGTAACTATATAAAGATTGTTATAATTCACAGAATTTGTTTTATTTATAGACTTTCATCAACAACATTACCAGCTGTAGATTGGAATAAAACTCCATTACCTTTCAAAACAGAACTTTTTACAAGACTTCTTCACAGAATAACAAATTATATGTAAGTGAAGTTTTTCATTTTGGCTCTTCAATTTCTTAATATTTAAAAAGAAAATTAACTCAGTAAATTATTATATTTGCTCTTTTGTCTCATTATTTTTTAAACAAAGGTTAAAAGTGTACTTCTTTATTAATTCAAAGTATCTATTTTTCAGTAATCCTGATGTGGAAATCCTTATTTCAAATGAAGTTTTCAGTTGTCATCTGCTTGTTCTTCAATGCTATTCAGACTACTTTGATCAAACAAAACAGGCTAGCAAAGTTCGTCTGCCAGAGGTATATAGTAATTGGTGTATTTGGGAACAAATTGAAATATATATTGTTGCAGATCATATTGATTGTCAATTGTGATATGCAGGATTGTGTTACACCCAGAGCTTTTATGACAATTTATAACTGGATGATTTATCCTGGGTCAGATAGCTTTCGACTCCTCTCAAGGGAAAACATTTTGGAAGTCTTTGTAGCCTCCCAAAATTTAGGAATAAAAGGTAACGAATAATCAAATTAATGTACAAACATTGAATCAATATTTTAAGCATTGTTTTCTCCTTCTCAGAATTAGAAGAACAATGCTGGACCTTCATAAACAGTGATCACATCTTCTCTGAAGAAACCGCATTTCTGCTTTTCTCAAAAGCAAAGAAGATGAACAACACCATTATCACACAGCTCATGATTCCAAGAATAATGCGCTTCTTTCTGAAACTTGTGGGAACTACCAACTTCGTTGATTTAGATTTGGATGATGTTTGTACTTTTCTGAAATCAAACTTCATAGCAGTTCACAAGTATGCAGGATTTAATAATTAGTCTAAAGTGTTGCAAAATCTATTTTTATTTGTATTTTGCTAACCCTTACATACAGGCAGCTTCATATATGAATGGCTGCTCGTACATGTGGGTGAGCACCAATGTATATGTGGTCATGAGTGAAAACTATGAAGAAGAAGAAAATGAAAGTGAAATTGTATAAATGATTGATAGTGGGGTTTAAAATCCAAATAAATTCATGACTCTAGGGTAACTTTTGTGGTAGAGGGGTTAAACAAAATTTTACGACAAGACAGACGTTTACAGGATGACTGCTTCTAATATAAGTACCCTTCTGATTTTCATTGAAATCAGAAGTATCACTATTTATTTCCTGGAATAAACATAAATTTAAAAAACTGTATTGGATACAACTTTTGGCTTTCTGAGAAGCTTACTTTACAATAGTAAATTTGATTGTGTAAATGTTCTGTAAGCAAGTTCTGACTATTTTTTATTAGAACAAAGGGTGATTTTATGACCAAGCAATCATTAAATTCAGACAGCTTCTCATTCGCTTTCTTGTCACTGCATAAATATTAAATTCTGAGCCCCCCCACAGAATGAAAACCAGGACCACACAAATAGAATGTTACTTGGTTGGGAATTTCCATTTAGATTGTTTATATACCACATCTTTACCACTCTCCCATGGGATCCCAGCTTCTCCCAGGTGGCTAACTTGTCATCAATGCATTTCTTTTTATAAGTGCTTATATCTTGTTCAGCATAGGGGCAATTAAGCACCACTTAAGTGTTTGGTAGGAACCCAAACTGCAGCCAAGCCATTTGCAAATAAGATCTCTAGATTTTTCTAATTATAAATGAAGGTTCAGTGCCACCATAGGAACATGTTGGGGGAGTCCAGCAAGTCTCTTATCCAGATATAATATGTCACTTGCAGTACTCACATGCAGATGTAGGAACTATTTGTCTGGCATTCTAATTTGACCGTCCACTTCTTGGAGCATCAACATGGATGGCATTGACAAAACCAGTTGGTAGAAGTAATGTGGTATTATGTAAAAATGAAGTAATGCCAACTTCTAAGTGGGCTTCAAATGTGCCTCCCCAAATGAAGCCTTCTCACTGCTTCCATCAAATTTGCAATAGATGCTTCAGATGGGAAGCTGAAATAGAGTAGTTTGTTTCCAGGTATGTTATGGATTGATCATTATTGACCAGAGGAATTCTTTCCCCAACCTTTGCAGATGGTGGTCCTCAATGAATCAGGATCATTCAAATGTGGTAATCTAAAATGATGAACATTTATCTATGGACAATGTCATGCTCAGGACCCCACGCTATTCCATCACAATATCAACCAGTTCTTGAGCCTCTGGGGCATCTCTTGCTAACAGATCATCTGTTAATGCAAAAAACAGACACACTCCTACCAATAGTGGGTACCCTGTCTTGTTCTTCAATTTCTCAAGTACAGACTCCACAATGAGATTGCAAAGGAGTTGGGGCAAGTGCCCAATCCCTTTCATTTATCAAGGAATTGGCACATTAGTGCCTTTTGAGGGGTGCTGAATGACAGTGGAAACCTCAGCATTGAGTCCATTACCAAATTAATAAAGACTTTGGGAATCTTTTTTTTGGACAGAACCTACTGAATCACTGTGTAATGAAATGCATTGAATACTTTGAATATATCTACTGCAGCATCAACAGTTTGAGGAAGTAATTTTGAAAGTATATGGGAACAGGAATTATCCACTTTTCCAGTTTCAGGGACTTACAATATAATATTTTCTGGCAAGAAATCACCATTTTTTGCTACAACATTACATTACTATCTCTATTCTACATAAGTAGTATGTGGGAAGTAACTAGTAAAAGTGCTAGAAAGTAACATTATTTTTAAATGAATCTCTACAGAATAGTTTTAAAGAAGGTAAAAAATATTATACTGTGGTTTTAGGAAGATGTTAAAAAAAGTTTGAACTTTTGGAAATTTAAAAAGTTTAGAGAGGTTAGCAAAGGTGAGACCTATACCGTTCTTTTGAGTGGCCTTTACTCTATCCAAAGAAAGGGTTTAATAAAAAAATTGAAACCAATTTTGAGAAAAGTTTAAAAATACTGTTAAGGCTTTAAGTAAGGCCCCTCCTCCCCTCCTAAATAAAGAAAAAAGGAAAAAAGAAAAAAGAAAGAGAAAAACAAGGGGAGGGGGACCTATTTCAAACTCACAGAGCCTCGATTTTGGCCATATTGATCAGATAGCATCAATATACTGCTGGGGCCACAAAGTGTAATGGCAAGGAATGTGCTGAGCCAATTAATTTTTATTTACTTTTCATGCATATTCAACCAAACTTCCTAAATGAGAGTAAAATATTTGTTGTTGTTTATTGTTGTAAATCTTTATTGATCAAAACATTTTTCCTTTATGGGAAAAATATTACAACAATCACAAATTACTTTTATTAAATAGTGACAAGTGAACATGACATTAACATTTTGGTTTGAATAGTACATAAAATACTATATTTAGGATAACATTTATTTTGACAGTGTAAAACTAATTATTATGCATGGTTGCAGTGAAATTGAGGTATTTATGTCAGCTGTTCGATGGTTGATGCATGACTGGGAGAGACGAAAATTATACCTCTGTGATATAATGAAATGTATTCGCTTTGGTTGGATTGCACCTTGGCAACTAGTGGATATTAGAAGAAATCCTGAAAATCCTGAATTCATGAGAGTTACCTCTCAGCCTGATGTTCAGCAGTTGATCGAAGATGGCCTATCGTAAGTATTGTTTGTTATCACGGTAAAGAATGTTCAAGAATAAATTCTTCAAAAAGTCAAGCTTTTATTATTAGTAATACTCTTCGTTTGCAAATGAATTTTGAAATTGGCTCCAACAATTTTTAAAGAAGTGTTTTCTTAATTTTACTGACTTTGTGATATTAAATTTAAATGTATCTTGTTTGATCCAGGTATGCTATCATTAAGTATTGGTATGGCAATCAGACACAAGATTATTATCATTGGATTGATCTTTTAGGACTGCAAGAACCAAGTCAAAGAAACTGGATAGATGAAGAAAAGGTAATGGGAAATAAAAGTTTTATGAAATGAGAGCATTATAAACTGAGCATATATTATGCAAAGAACTATATTTATTTAGCTTTTGATTCCTCTAGAACTACATTACATACAGAGAATTTCTGAATGATTTGGAAATATACCAGCAAGCAGGCACCTTGGATTCTATGCAACTACGCAGCCAACAACTAAATATAAAAGCAGATGTCTTCCCTCCACCTCCTACAGTTGCTGAATTTATGGCACAGAGGGTGAGTAACAAAGATAAATTTGGAAGTGAGTGATCCCTGCTTTGAAGCAGCAATGAAGATCAGCATTGAAGATGGTAGTCCTGCCAGTTAAAGAACTCTTCAACTTCAATTAAATGGTTAATTTATTCATAAAATATTTAAATATTTTCCTAGATTTTTTTCTTTCTTACTTGAATATTTCATTTTCCAAATATTACCTCTTTATTGTCATTTTCGGAAAAATAAATTATACACATTTTTGTAAATATTTTGTATTTGTATTCATTTCATGTAAAGTCATTAACAAATACAAGCAAATAATTTTTATACATACTTGTATTGATATACATGTTTTTGTACCTTAGAGAGTGAACACAAGTAAATATGAAGTATAAATAAATATAATTTGATGAATAAGTTTGTAACAAGCTATTCAGAATAAAATGTATTGTTTAGATTCAATTCAAATTGCGATCTGATGTCTCACGAGATAAAAAGATTCATTTAATGTATTATTTTCTATTTGACATATTATTTTGATTGGAGATGCAACTTACATCTATTATTGTTCATAACTATTCAATAAAAAAATGTAATTCTTATCCACAACACATATTGTAATGATACACAGGTTAAGAAAAAAATTGTGACTTTGAAAAAAGTATATTTTCTTATTAAATTTCACTTTTGTCACATTTCCATTTGAGTTTTTATTTTTAAGAAAGAAGTTGTAATAGGCAAAAAGGCCTAATTCTTGCTACTATTTCTGCTGCTGCTACTGCTGCTGCTGCTGATGATGATGATGATGATGACATTAAAGTCTTGCAATAAACTGAATTTTGTTTTGTATTATCTTTTGCAGAAGTTTCTTATTAAATAATTTTATGTTCACAAGTAGCCACAGAGGATTTCTGCTCTAGTCTCATATACATTATTTGCACAAAAATAATGTATGTGAGGTAAGGAAATGTTATTTCAACTTGTAAAGTAGGTCAAAAATGAGTTGATCTCTATCCGAATACAAAGAATCTTGGCAAGCTTTGTGGAGGTAGGCTCCAGTACATCCAAGATGTCAGAACAAGAAGGATTGGATATGGTTTATATCTAATACTTTTCCCCAGAACGTAGAGAACTAGTTTTCATTGGTTTAACAGATTAAATATATTTAAGAGATATGATTGCATTAAAGTAAATGAATAATGAAAAAAAAATTTAGCTTCACCAACATACTGATTGTTTATCATAATTACTTTAGCAAGCAATATGTATTAATTTATGCATGCATGAATTAATTTTACATACATGCCACATACAATGTGGTTCAGTTCATAACATAACATGTATTATAAAAGGACACATTTGAAACATGTCAACTATGTTATGTCCCTATGTAAGAATATACAGCTAAGTTTACAGATATGTATCACGGGCTTTATTCAATAAAAAATGTAAAAATTTACTCACACTTCTGTACAAGTAACTAACAAAAAGTTATTATTGTTTTCTTCACAATTAATAAATCAAGAGGAATATCAATCAGTTGGCATCATGCATTTTCTCCCATCTGTTGCATAAAGATATTTGATAATTTTAAATTGTTCAGTATTTTAGTCTTGAATTTGCTACCTTTTCTGTTGTTGTTTTTTCATTATTTTCCAAAATGTATAATGAAGATTGAAAGAACTCGGCAACAGAATAATAGTTATCAAGTGAAAGCAAAGAGATGACAAAATAAATGGAAAAGAAGTTATTACCAACATCTTGGATTTAATGAAAAAGATGATAACCAATTAATGATTCATGAATTTAAACTCACATTTATGCAACTATTCCTTCTTTTTTCAAGTTCATCAATGAAATGAATATTTAATTTTTATTTTGAATCTTTTCTGTTTTTTCACTCTTAAATTTTCTAAAAATTCATTGCTTTACATCCATGAACAATAACTATGAAATAAGGTACTACCTATTCTATGCAAGCTGACTTTTTTCTGCTCTCTGCTTCAAAAGCATACATTCTATAAGAAATGAACCAATGAAGAAATTGGTTTATTTTAAAATACGTGAAGAATACCCTCTAGATCTTCATGTGTGATATCTTGGGTAATCGTCCATATTTTGGTCTCTTGCATGGTAGTCATCAGTTTGTTGATGCTTGGGATCTTTGTGCTCTAGGGACAGATTATATAATAAATAAAAGCATTTTTAGGATGGCCCTTGACTACATTTGACTTTACTCTTTCTGGCCTATTTTTGACTAATCTATTGAGTCATTCATAAGTGAATCATATTGTTGAATGGTTAGTGGAAATAAGCTTTAGCGAACTTCCTCTACCCTTTTTAGTCTGAATCCAGGAAATGAAGTGTAATGTTACCAGAAAAATATTTATTGAAAGATAATAATTGAAATTCTTTATTAGGGTCCTTCAGCTAATGGCCCGGGCAAGCAACTTCAGCTAGAACTGAAAATAGTCTAACACTGTGTTTTCATCATTATTACAATACGAAAAACTTACTTTCAGTTGTGATAAGGGAGTACTAATTTTCCCCTCCTTTTGATTTTTGAATTATTCTTGTAAAAAGAATTTTAAGGTAAAGGATCATCCTCTAATTAATTAATCACAAATCAATAAACATGCCAGTAATAAGTTTCTCCACCATTATGCCAATTGTGTTATATGAACAATGCTTCAGGAAAAATGTGTATTCTTTCATGTATTTCTGAAACTCACTTTGAGAAGGGGGAAAAAAATCATGTTTTCCTTTTTATTTTTAGGCAAGGAATCTGGAAGATTTAAATGAATCAAAGCATTCAGCAGAAAAGTAAACAAAGATCATAATAAAAATGAAATCCTGCCATCTGAATCCCAGAATCAATCTCTAATCCCAGGAGAAATAAGAAACACATTTCAAAGTGCTGGGCAACCTAACACATTTACATCCAGTGAATTACAAGCACAGTGTGAAAATGCCAGAAGGAGTTCTTTGCTAGTGAATGATGCAAGTTTGAAGAGTTGTAACTTTGAGGTGACATTTAAGAAATTGTTCATTGATAGATCCAATAATTAATGCTTCTATATAATGTCTAATGTGTATCAATATTTCAGCACAATGATACTTCTAAAAATATATTTGCAAATACTGAGCATCTAGTGGAAGAAAATAACACCCAAATATCAATCCAAAAATCATATCCAAAACATTTATCTCATTCAACACCTGCAGTTATGACTAAACAAACACTTCATAAAGTTTCACATTCTCATGTAGAAGATGTACTCCTGGCAAATGCATCATTAGATATCAAGAAGGTTCTTGAAGAGGCTGACAGAAATTTCTGTGAAAAGAAAAATTCAGAGAAAATATATAAAAAATCAGATGAAAAAGATTTTAAATTGTTGTCTGAGAAACCTGGAACAAAAGTATCTTCACTTTTTGCTCACATTTCAAGAGAATCAACACTGCAATGCATGTCAGTAGTTTTTAAGTTTTAAATAATTTTATTTTCGTAATATCAGTGAATCATTGGCAATGTTATCTTTAATTGATGAATTGTTTTCAGAAGCTTGTTAAAAAGGCTCAGATCTTATATAAGAGAAATATTTATGACACAAAAAAAGTGCCATAAAAATAATATGAAAAAACAGAAATGCATTCTAGCTCCTTTGTTTCTTTTGTCTTTCACAAACATTAAATAAGAATAACTGAATTTATCTTTCCAAAAGTTAACTATATTGTTCATGCTTTTCATGCTATGAAAGCTAACTTCTATGCACATCTAGTCAGAACATTGTGAATCATTTTTATAATCTGCCTTTCTTTATATCTTTTATCATCCCTAATTATCATTATATGTTCATGTAAATAATATTTCCTGTAAAATTTGATTCCACCCTCCCTTTAGAGTAGAAGAAGTTCTGTTAGATCTTTCTTGCAAGAATTCATACAATCACTTCATTTGTACTAATGATAAAATGCCTGATTTTCTGTATTCACTATCCCAATGTCTCATTATTATTATAGAGTTTAATGTTATTAATCAATAAGAGTTAGGTAAAAATTAAAGAGACATACTTTTGTTTGAAATTGGAATTTATTATTAAAGTATGTTAATTCTCGCAGAAGAAAATTTGTTTCATCCTACTCTTATTCGGTAAAGTAAACATTTTTGTATTGGCCATCTAATACTGTACTTTCTAACATATTAAATTGTAAAGATAAGGTATTGATTACTATTTTTTCTTTGATTATGAACTTTTTCAATTTTAGTTGAACGGTAAATGCCTATTGTTCACATGGCCAATTACAGAAAAGCAACTTGTTTTTATAGGAATCAAATGAGTATAAGCAGTTTGGGAGCTTCTTCAAGAAATTACTTAATGGAAGGATCTCTGTTCTTCTCAGATAATGAAGCTGTTTTAGTTTTTGGTGGAATTGATCCTCATAGTCCGTATGGATTTGGACAAAACACAGGCAAAGAAATTTATCGTTATGTTCCTCATATTAATTCTTGGGAGCTTGTAGGAGAGCTTCCCGAGCCCCGGCATCATCATTCTGTGGCATTTTTGAAGGGAAAAATATTTTTAGCAGGTGATGAGTTATTGTAATGTATTTAAGAGAACAAGTGAAATATCAAAAATACTTGAAATAATATTTGACATAACTCACGATTCATACAATCTACCATTTATTTTTCTGAAATAAATAAAAACATTTTTTACTGATATACTCATGTTATATTCTCTTTTATTATCACCACCTCTCTTATTAACCATTTCTCACCGGGGAAGATGTATCATTAATTTGATGTAATAATTATCTATGACAACATGACTTGTATTCATTTTTCAATAAAAAAAGACCTGCTTAGATATTAGAACAACACTTACTACAAAAATAAAAAATATCAATGTGGAAAACCTTTTTCATTGAACATTGTATGAAATATTGCAAATCTAATTTATTTTTTAAATTATCTGACAGCATCATATAAAGCATAATTTTTCTCAATGTAAAAGTTAAATACTTCAGTTTATGAAAATTGTCAGGCAAATAACAAATGTAATAATTCCTACATATTGTTGTTTTGATTTCTTGTGCAAATAATTCAGGAGGTGCTGATCCAAGAGCTGAGGACACAACAGGGAAGTCAGATGTTGTTCGCACTGTTTGGAGTTATGATCCTGTAACTTGTAATTGGCTTAGAGAAACCGAAATGCTCACACCTAGGAAAAATTTTGGCTTGGTGGTAAGCGGTGGAAAATTATATGCCATTGGTGGACAAGATAAAAAAGGACGGTAAGTGAGCCTAATATAAAAGTCAATAATACTACATAAATAAATGCCTACAGAAATATTACTATGAATGTATGTTTTAGTGTTTTGTCATCAGTGGAGTGTTTCAACCCGACAGTTGGGGTGTGGGAAGAAATGTCATCTTTAGCAGTTGGTCGTATGGGAATGGCAGCCACAAAATTTCGAGACTTCATTTGGGTGGCTGGCGGAATGATGAGTTTGAAAAGCACATCTTTGAGCAGTGATGTGGAGTGTTATGATACAAGGCGAAATATGTGAGTACTTTAATGTAGTTGTTGTGTATTACGTTAATGTAGTTAATGCTTATTGAGCTATAGCAGTGGGAAAGATATCAATTAAATATAAAAACTTATTTGCTCTCATCTTTATTATACACATCACTGCAAACCTTTGCTTTTCCTATAATCTTTACAAGAGTTTTAAGAAGGACTTTATTTATCATGATTGGTTTTCTTCCTCAATAACAAAAACTCTTCCTTACTGCCATAATATTTCAGATTTTCCTTTCTTATCTTTCTTCAGGTGGAGAAAGGTTTGTGTATTATACATTTAATCTAGGATTTAGTATCTTAATGATGGTGGCCCCCTTCAAAATACCAGGCAATGAAAAAAAACAATATTATGAGCAATATTGAAAATTTAATGTACAGAGTTGCCTATTCTATCAATTTTATTTTAAAAAACCTACAATCTTCAGCCTATTAAGATTCCTTTTTGAACATTGTCTACAAAATGTGCACTGAATTCAGAGAGAACAACAACAAACAATTATGAAAGAATTTAGCAAAAACAGAAGCAGGATATATTTAAAGAGACATATTTAGGATATTCTTGATGAATTGAATGAACAATAAAGAAATTTTAAAAAAAAATTTTTGAATGAAGATTGATGAACTAACAGCAATACTCATGAAAGCAGACATGTCAAAGAGAGAGTTTGGTGGCTAAACCCGCTCTCAAAATGAAAATATATCTAAGATATGTGGGTTTGGACCCTTTACGATTGTATCAGTTAGAACTTGATAAACAATTCTTAAGTATACTATTTTAACATTTCTGCTCATCACATATTTACCTTTGGAATAGATGTCGATGCATGAGTATTCTTTACATCAGTATTAACAATTATTGCTCACCTCTTTCTGCTTTGTGCATCACCCCTCAATATCTTGAAATAGATGGTCAGTTTTAGACAAACAGACAGTTTCAAGATGTGTGAGATCCTTTATATCTTTAGGGATGAAAATCTCGCACAATTTCATAAAAGTATTTTGAAAAGTTAGTCTTGAATGTTCACTTATTAAATATGAATTTTTCAATGATTTTTCAATGATATTCCCCCAGCAGATAATTCTGGGTACATAATTTCAGGGAAAATTGTTTATTTAAATATTATGAAAATTCCTTGTTAGAAACTTGAATATTTAACAGTATAAAGAAGGCTCATAACCCCAAGATCAGCAAAATGATTGTCAAAAAATCGTCTTCATAATATTCAAGAAACACATTGACTTCTTTATTATAATTGAAGCTCTGTATGAAAGAGATGAAACTAGGTAACTATTTTCTGACACAGAAAGCCTCTGAAATTATGAAATGAATTAACCTTTCATTGTATTCGCAGACTTCTGTGGCCAGATTCATTTGATTCTTGGCTGTCCAGGATGAGCCGCATCTTAGTCGATTGAACTGACACTTCAACCTTCCAGTTGTGGCCTTCTTTAGAGTTATACAGCAGTATAGGCTCGATAGACAAGAATCAAACCTCTGGTTGTTTCAGAAAAGTAGAACTAGAAGCTGACTAGAAGAAGTAGAAAATTCAAAATAATAAAGAGAAGATTCACATTAATGTAAAATAAGTGTATAACTGTATTTTTGTATAAATAATTATATTGATAGGTGTTAATATAATATTAATAGAATCTTGTTATAAGAGAATGCACTTTTGAGGCTTGTCTCAAATCCCAAGTGTTTCCTGCCTATAATAGACAAAACACTTGTTCCAAAGGAATTTCCCCCCTACGAGTATGAGACAGAAGGCAAACTTTCCCATGAATTGAGATTGGCGATTGATTAGTCCCATAGGTTAACACAAGAATTCATTCATGAATCATAAGAATCCTTACTGTTAAAGGCCCTTCACAGACATTGCTAAAGAATCTCATCATCACTGTGAACTTTGTATTAAACTTTGCAGTGATATCAGTTAATCATCTTGCATCTGTTCAAATGTTAACATAAAATATTCAAAAATAACTCTGAGAAATTTCAGTGGAGAAAAAAGAACATTGCATAGCATTGTATGTTGCTAAATTATTTGTGAAGAATAAGAGATGGAATTCCAAGAAAGTGAGGGTATGGATTTGAAACTAAAATATTTTACATGATAATCTCTATAGATTAAGACCAAATTAATCATTATACTAATCATAGTCATTGATTTCTTCTGGAGGATTTTCCTGAAAGTTTCCCCACATTGTTATATTCTCTTATTTTCTCTTGATTGCCTGTTGTTTCATCCACTTACTGCAATATTTCACTCTTGAAATATCCTTCATTTCACTTCTTGAGAAAACCTTTTTCTTCACAAACACTAGCTTTTTTCAAATAAGCTATCCAAATGCATACAAGATTATCTGATGAAAGAGCAATGAAATGTACCAGGCAATAAAAATAATTTATATTTAAAACTGATTGTCATCTAAATACCATCATCCTACAATGATATAATTTATTGTCAAGAAATTCCTACTTGTGCCCTTATGATGACTGTTGGTCAGCTTGTAAGGATTCTGTGATGCAATCATAAGTTCCTGGTCAATAGAGCTGTAGCTTTCATAGACAATTGTTTCAGTTTCAAACTGACAAACAAACAAATAAACTACTACTTGTTGCATTATTGAATTCTTGAATATAGTAGTTTTTCAAGTCTGGCTAAGATAAAAAACATTTTTTATTCAGTCTCACTAAGATTAAAAACTAACTTACAAATCCCTCATTAATCAATTCTTTTTAATTATATAAGTTTTTAATTTAGTGTCTACTTATTTTTTCTAATCATTTTGCAGATGGTTTCCTTGTGGTGTCGTTCGCTATTCTCGATGCTTCAGTCAATTTCTTGCAATGAATGACACTTTGTATCTTATTGGAGGTGCAGGTTGTGTAGATGAGAAAGTTGATTCAACTGCAAGTATAGGTGCAATTGATATTTGGGATGAGAAAAGTAAAAAATGGTCTCTCAAAGATGAAATGGCAATTCCTCGACATGGCCATTCTTTGGCTTACTTGGGTAATAATTTATTTGTATTCTCATGAAGGTATAGTATTGAATTTACTCAAATACATTCTTAATTTATACATTTTAATAGGAGTGAAGTTGGGTTCAGAGAAATCTAATTATGGGAGACCTCAATATATTTTCCATTTATTTAGATATCAATTTAATTTTTTTAATCACTTTCTTTTTCACACAATTTGGGTAAAGAGAACTGTTTTCAATGCTATTAAAAACAGTCTCTTTTCTACCCAAAATTGTTAAAGTTGATTGTTGCAATCCTTTTACAATTGGTTGTCTGTACCTGTTGATTGCAAACCATTAGTGCTACTGATTAGCAGGTAACTTACTCATACTAGGTTATTCTCAAAAGATTTTGTATGAACTGCGTCAATTGCCTTCTTTTTTAAAAGAAATTTTGATGTCAAACATCAGTAGATAAGAATTTTTCATGGGGTATGTTATAAGAAAGAACTTACACATTTTCTTCTTTTGTACATTGAATGCACTTAAATTATTTACTTTTTTTTTTTCATTAACAGGCACACAAATTCTTATCATAGGAGGAGTAAGCACAATGTACATGAGAGCACTTAATAACATTGAATGTTTTTGCTGTGTAAGAGGAACTTGGATCCATGGAATTGCTAATCTACCAACCCCTCTGTCTGGTCACGGATCTGTAACTTTACCTCCTGCATCACTAATGCAATAAATGAGATAATTTTGAATACGTAGACTGTATTTGAAATAATGAAGATTTTATAATTTATTGAAATTCAAGAACCATAACATAAAATAAGAAAATTTATTTATTTGCATATATTTTTCTATTCAGTAAAATAGGAGTAGGTATATTGGAATAATTCCACATTTAAAGCATGGAAGGAGATAGTCTTCCAAAAGCAAACACCTTAAGAAAGAGCAAAAATATAATGACTATTTATTTTCAGGTGATCAAAAAGTATGAGTGACATGTGAGGATAATTGACAAATTTCAGTTAAATTTAGAATGATATGAAATAAAAAATGTTTTTAAGAATTAAATATATTAATAATCGAAACAAAATCTATATTTTTTCATGAAAAAGAGCAGAGAAACCTCAAGATCATCATTGGAGAAGAGTTAATTGCATGAATATCAACACACATATCAGAATTAATAAAGCACAATAGGTTAAGAGGTACTAGAAACTACATAAGTGCCTCAATGAATAGAAATAAGAAAACAAAGAATATAAAAGAAAATAAAAAGAATGGTTTGAGCATGATAAAAGAATTCTTCAGGAAACTGTAGTCAATACAACAAAGTATTAGGTTACAAATGAATAGTAGGAAAGTCAAAGAATGAACCTGGAGGAGAAACTAAAGGACAATCCACAAGTTCACGGTCCTTTCCAATCCTTTAGACCTCCAGCTTATTATGATGATGATAATAATGATAATGTTGACAGTGTTGATGCTAATAAAAATTAGAATACAGAAAAGAAAACGCAAGTCAAAACCTATCTTACTCAACATAAATCATGGATAGTAATGATGTATTCTGCTTATTTTCCTTTTAATATAATTATTGTAGCAGGCTTTTAGATTTAGAAAATATTTCTGTCTTATTATAAAACAAATAAGAATGGCCCCTCAAACCTAAAGCAGCATGCCTTTTTCCTTTTCACTACCATGTGCACAATAAATTCTGTTCATGTCTCTCTCATATTGAATTCTGGGTTAATATATAAAACAATTGATGTTAAAACAGATTTAAGTCTATTTTTTTTGTAATAAGTATTATTGTCATGTCTAGCAAAAATAACAAAACATCGCTACTCGTGACTATTTACAAATTTTAATATAATAAAAATATTTCAAGAAAAAATTGATCATGAAAAAAGGCTACACATTAAATAATTATAAGACAGTATTAAAGTTCTTCTGAATAAATTTTACAAACCAAGTTAGAACATAAATCACATTTCATTGAAATCAT